GAATTGAAACAGGCTTCGGAAATTAAGAAACAAAACAAGGGGTCAGGATATACTTCTCTGGTTGGCATTACTGGATATGTTTGTTCGGGTAAGTTTGAAGGATTCTTGTCTACAGATACTTCAAGAGAGCTTATTAATCATATTTCAACTGAGGAAAAATCTCAAGTTTTAAAGTAGCATAGTATGAGTGAATACGTAATGTCCTGCTAATAGTTAAGGTTTCAAGTTTTTAATTTCTTCTAGGCCATATTCTCATGATGTTACAAATGCACAGCCATGCAATCATTACATTGCAGAAGATACTGCAGAAGTAAACTGATAGAATCAGCTAGGCATAAATACTTCATATAACACATAATCTTTTGTTTTCATAGTACAAACATTACATCTCAACTTAGTAGTTCGGTCAAAATGCAGACAAGATACATAAAAACAAACTGCAAGAAGATCTAACAAAGTTCAGAATACACCTAAATCATTAATGTCACTATAACAACCCAATATAACCAGAATTTCTTATCAAATTTATTGAAAGAAAAACTCAACCATTCATTATACTATTTCTTCAAGGCACAAAAGACAACATTTTAGCATCATGGGTAAGTAGTACAACTTTACCTTGCATGGCCCATTCACGCGTTTCAGTATTGCTAACTCCCACCTCAGGCGTTGCAAAAGAAACTGTTCCACCTTCGACTGAATTCATGAAAACACCAAACAGTAAGCAAAAAATTATTTTCCTTTTTCCGGATAAGTACAAAATACTAACCAAATTAAAGGCCCCAAAACAAGTATATTGTCAGAAACAAGGTGACAGCCTAACAATTCAAGACTGACAATTACAATTACTATTAAATTAAATAGCAAAAGGAGAAGAAAATAAAAAAAGAAGGAAGACCCACTAATTGCAGTGCCCTTAATGGAGTAACAAGCAGAAGAAAGAAGTAGATACCCTTTGGAGAGGAAATGGAAGGCAGAAATAAGTGAGTCTGTTGTGGAATTCTCAGTCTTCTCCCGCTATGTATTGCTGTAATTCGAACTGATGTTACCACTGTTGGGTTTCTTCTGGTTAAGCTGTGGAATGGCTTCGAATATTGAGGCACTGAACTTTGAACCATACCCTCCATGGCTAAGCTGTGTCTGTTTGCGTAGCAAAAGGATAAGAAGTCTCCAATTCTTGTAGAACTTGGGACTAATCTATAATTTCCAAAACTTATGCTCTTTTTTTCGCGGCTGTGTTTGCGGGTAAATATTATTTACACCTTTTAGTAATCAAACTCTTTCCTCAACTTTACTTTAAGCTAGGGGTGTACATGTACCGCATTAGTTCGATTTTATCACGTTTTTCAGGTCTTTTTATTACATGAATATTATTTCAATCTTACTTTATTAAAATTATAGATAAAGTTTTGATAAGTGAATATATGTTTAGTAAATATGAAAAAAATTGACAAACATATGATCTTTTAAAATATTCTAATACAAGAATTGTTTTAGTAACACATTATAGTTATTTTCTTAGTCGTATAACAATAATTTTTCGTTAATTTACACTTTCAAGGTTAATACATGAGAGGATCCCAAATATTTCTATATTTTCTAAAGAAAATTCACTATAAAGTCTTAAAAATATAGATAAAATTTATATATTTATATATCGGTTTAGTTCGGGTTTTTTAACTCAATACCAAACCAAGTCAAACAAACCTAGTCGGATTTTTTAATCGATTTGGTTTGATTTTTCAGTTTGGTGCGATTTTCCGGTTCAGTTTGAACACTCATACTTTAAACAATAGTCATTCTCCTTTCTTATTTTTTGCAATATCTATTTTGCCTTTCACACCTTTTTATATTATATATAATACTTTTTAACCAAGTATTTACCTATAGTTTAAATGATTTGATATTTTATTATTAATTTTTATTTAAGTTAATAGCGTTATAAGTAGAAGATCTTTTTATAAATATTTTTAAATCTAATGCTATTTTTTATAATTATTTTAATATTACGTGCATTAACTATATATTATGTATATGTGTGCGTGTGTATATGTTCCATTTCTCTCTTATTCTTTATCGTCTATATAATAAAAGAGTTTTGATTATCATTAATAGAATAATTTATAATTTAAAAAATATTGCATTATTCTATTTATAACATTCTTTATCGACTACATAGAGAAATGAAATTCTAACCTAGTTGGTTAATAGTACTCAGAAATTTGTTAGGTGAGGTTATATAGAGTATGCTCGGATTAGTCCAGCTAATTTTGTTCTTTTTGAGCCGTAAACCTGCTCACTTTTAATTTGGTGTATTACCAAAAAAATCATTTATAATATAAATAGATAACTTGTTATAAAATTTGGTATAAATCTAATTTACCAAAAAAATCATTTTAAAAAGTACATAAACTTCAGTATACCGTGCTAATTTGAATTAATTAAGAGCCCGTTTGGACATAAGAAATTTTTTTCTTTTTTTTCAAAAAATTTCACTTTTTTTCCGAAATCAACGTTTGTTTATAAAACAAATTCAATTTTAACTTGAAGATGCATTTTGTAAATTTTCAAAAATTTGAAAAATTCCATAAAACCTATTTTTCAAAATTCACTCAAATCACTCACAAACCTTCAAAAACAACCCAAGATATATTCATGTCCAAACACAACTCTAAATTTCAAATTTCACCCTTCTTTGAAATTTTACAATCTTATGTCCAAACGCCCACTAAATATGGGAGCTTTTGATACCAAATGCCTTAAAAAATAAACATTGCTGGGTAAATCAATTGTTTTACTCTTTCCCTTTCTCCCTCCCCCACAATTATAGTTGTCTGTGCATCAACAAGACAGAATCTTGCGTCATCCCAGAAAGCAAGGTGATAACCAAGTTAAAACAAATTATTCAAAACGTATTAACTGATACGCAAAATCAAAAGTAAGCAAGATCAAAATCAAGTACTTCAAGTAGTACAGTGGATATAAGTTGATTCATTATTTTCCCGTAGCCACAAAACCAGGTTAGGGGTTCATGAACAATCATGACATTTGTCAATTCTCATCGAACTACAATGTTCATGCCTCATACATTAAGGTAAACTTAAAGCATGTCTAGCGATGAATATAGGAATCAGGGGGCAATCCTTTGTGGGTCACGAGGGAAAAGTGATGTCTTGCGAATATTGTTGAGCGCGCAGAAAAGCATCACCACACGCTCCAGTCCGACTCCAAATCCACCGTGAGGAGGAGCACCATATCTTTAACATGCGGAAAAAAAAATAGTCACTAAATTTCAGTTAACTGAGAATGAGCTTATCAAGTGTAATTAGGGCGGATGTCAAAATTTAGAGAACAAATAGAGCAGTTAGTTACAGCTTGAATTTACCAGATGACAACAATTCCAAGAAGTTTAGCAAAATAAGATTTAACGTGAGTTGACTAAACCAGTTATGAAAGAAATCTAATATTATGGGGAAAATTGATAAGCCAAGAAAAGTACCGGAAAGAATCAATATATGTTGATATTGTCTTCACATCAATTCCACATTCTTCAGCACGTTTTGCCAAGAACTCAGGTACATGGACACGCTGAGCTCCGGAGATAATTTCTTCTCCTGATAAAAGACAATGGAAAAATGTCATCAAACTCTCAAAGCACACTGCAAGTAGCTTGTGTTTTAGCAGGAAACCCATCTCCACATCAGAAATTGCAGTCATTTTCTTTAATTTTCTAACTGAGGCTCATTTGGACAATATTTGGTTGAAGTAGATAAAACGAGTATTTAAAGTTGAAATTGAAACAGAATATTTGGAAGTTGAAATTGTACTTGGACATAAAACTTCACTAGGAAAAGAAGCCAAAATTTTGTGAATGAACCATTATCTCACTTGAAATACTCCTCATACTCCCTCCGGTCCAAAATAAGTGATTGTTTGGCTTTTTTCTTGTGGTCCAAAATAAGTGATTTCTTCAGATTTCAAGAATGAATTAATTATTTTTTTCCTACATTGCCCTTGGAGTAATTAATGTTGGAGTATGTGTTAGGAGTGTTTATGTGAAGAGATAGTAAAGGTTAATATGGTCAATTTCATTGCTAATTAATGTTAAAAGATGAATTTCTTAATATGTGTGAAAACAACCAAAAAATCACTTATTTTGGACCGGAGGGAGTATAAGTTTTTCAACTTCAATATTCTCTATTCAAGTTGAAGTTGTAATAAATAATGTACAGAATTGTAAAACAAACACTAAGTTGCAAATAATATTTCATTATTTGCAAATAATACGTACATCCAAACACCTAGTGAATTCACAAAACATAGAACTAGACAGCTAGCATAAATTGAGGCATTTGCAGATAAGAAGCTAACAGAATCACGAAAAGGAAGCCCCACAAACCGTGTGTGGAGATGTCAGACGATGTGTGAAAATCATTTTCCCTCGAGGAAAAATATCAATGTCAATTAATAAATAAAAAGTACGGTTGATCATGCTCTGATACCATGTAGAAATTGTGTGACCATCTCATATAAAAGCTTCAGTTGTTAGTCAAAGCACACTTTTATTTACTCAATTATGTCCTCAACAAAGAAAAACAAAATGTAAACTATAACCAAAATAGAAATGGAATAAAGAAGCTCATCCTGTCAACATAAAGAACTAGAGAAAAACTGGAAATGTGAAATCTGTTTCCATTTTTAGGAAAGAAGAAAATAAAACACACCATACCAAACTAGATTATTTTTGGAAGGAAAAAAGAATTCATCTTGGCAAAATACTGAAATAAAAAGTTAACATACCTCTAATGAAGACATCAAAAGAATTACTGTAAGCTGGATTATCATAACATGGCATAGTATAGAATGGACGAACTGCCAAGGGATATTTGTGAAGTATATAAAATTCAGTTCCATACCTAGAGCAACAAGGAAAAACAGAAAATTAGACCAATACCAACACGAATATCATGCAGAGAATTAAGAACAGAAAAAGGTGAAGAAGGAGGTTTAGGTTTTGGGAGATGGAAATGATAAATACTTCTTTGCAACAAGCTGGCCCAGCTTTCTTTCTGATTCTGTATTTAGGTCCCCAAACGGATCGACTTCAATACCAGCTTCCTGTAATAGCAGAACATCATTAAAAGGTTAAGTAATGACTAATAAATACTCTTGATTGCATGCCTGAGGCATAAGCAGACATGAGATCTCGTGAAGCTTCTTCAGTTCCAGTTCAACCAAATATCCAAAAGAAAGGAAAGCAAAGAATACAAAAGTTCAATTTTCACTTATGTGATAGGATTTCTCTATGCAGTATGCACAAGCTCCTAACGCTTGCTAGGTGATTGAACTTTCTCTTTTCATATGACTAATCATTCAACTTCTTACTGATGAACACAGAAACACAGCGAATAATGAAATCCTAACCCATTAAAAGAAGCACCAAGTGATGTTATACTGACCCACATACAGGCTGTATGGCGTGACTACAATACTGTCAAAACATTTTTGTGACAGCCACAATAGCATTCAATTGACTGAAGGCATCTTCCTTCACAAAAAGGGTTGAGGGAAGGAAAAGCTGCAATTCTTCCACTTTTACTAGAAGAATGCCCGAGTATTTGCACGCCCAGATCAGTATATCGGGGTTCCTTATCGTTCTTTCTTAATTTTCTTAGAGATTAGCAATTGGGGTTTCTTATTGTTTCAGGCCAATAAATCTTGAATACTCCAATGATTTCTTCACATTATCGATTGCCAGAGATACTATTATTTTCGGCCGATGCAACAGAAAATCAATATCAAAATTGAAGGATAGCAATCTAAGATCTCCAAATTGCTATTATTTTCTGCCGATGCAACAGAAAATCAATATCAAAATTGAAGGATAGCAATCTAAGATATCCAAATACACCTTGCGAAGAGCAAGAATTTCTTAGTTGAAGATGTACCAACTTTTATTTCTTCAGCCAGAACCCTAAATTCTGTGGATTAACTGCCCTCACACATTTGTTACACTAAATTGGGGGATGTTACTTCTTTTACCAGAACCCCAAACTTATGGTGAATTAACTGTCATCTACATATTTATTACACCCTTAAAAGAAGGATAGTTACATTGAAGAGACAATGCATGTCAATCAAATTTAAAGTAACATGTATGTTTACTCAACAGCATCCCTACATACAAGTT